ATATCTTGCCCTGTCCGACGTCTCCCTTCACCCACTTTTCTGTTGTCCGTCCCCCAGGGAGGAGGTCACATATAGTTCCTTGTAATCAGTCTTTTTAATGACTTTTTGCTTTCGTCATGGATGATGGTCTATAAATCATCCCACAACTCGTCTGGTCTTTGGTCTTTGGTGTTCATGGTTTCAAATCTGTTCTTGAGATGGATCTAAACTCAGGTGGGATATACTCAAGACTGTACTTGGTTCTTGTGGGCGAGCTTTAATTTTCTTTGGCTTCAAAATGAACTAACACATGAGCAATTGATGGTGTCTGTTCCACAGTCCGCCCTTGGCCTTGTTTGGGCTTATGATATTGAGCATCTCTGTCATCTCTTCCTACAGGTAGAGTCGATTGATTCCTATGTATTCCTTTTGGCCAAGTTCACGGGTACAATCACTATTTCACTATTTACATTGTTGGAAGAGGGTATTTGCTTTAAAAAGTGATTGGCCTCACAAAATTCTGTCATTCGGCCTCTGGCTTCATTTCCATCACCAAAATCGTGCTTTTCAACTGCTGATTGTCCCTCTTTGCTTCCAATGTTCCCATCCCAATCACCAGCAATTATCCATGCACCTTGATGGTATGTTTGATCAATTTCAGACTCAAGATGTTGTTATACTTCTTCACTTACTTCATCTTTGACTCATGTGGATGATATATAAACGTAAACAATCATGGAGTTAGCTAGTCTACCTTGCAGATGGATCGCTGCTATCCTATCTCGGACAGCACTGTATGTTAAGATAGTTCTTCAAATGCTTGTTTTGGGGTTCCTGCAGGGTCATTCCTCTGCTAGCTGCCATGCCAGGTATAGCAAACCATATGTTGTCTGTTCAAAATGGCCAGTATCCTCTATTCCAACTCACAAATGCCTAGAATATTGATCTTTATGCATCCCACTTCATTTTTGACAGTTTCTGATTTTCCTAGATTCATACTTTGTATATCCCACATTTCAGTTATTAATGCATGTTGGTAGTTGTTCCCATTTTGTGTCATGTCCCATCTGCAGGT